TACTTAGAAAAGTTTTCTGGAATAAAGCACTTCTAGTACTTTAGTAAACCTATTATTGCATCAATGTAGGTACTTCCTCCAGTGATGCAGATCGTATTCAAGCCCTGTCCATCTCGTTTTGTTTTGGGGTTTTTTTGGTGAGGCAGTGGGGGTTAAGTGACTTGCCTAGGGTCACACAGCTAATAAGTATCATGTGTCTGAGGCCAAATTTGAATTCCGGTCCTCCTGACTGCAGGGCCTGTGCTTTAGCTGCCCCTTTGTTCTCAGTTTCTTAACAGGGGATCCACCTAACATGTTACAGGCTTTCATTTACGTTCCTTGACACTGGATTCCATGCAGTTGATTTCCAGGATCAGTATATCTAAACCTTGACTCTCTTTTGAACTAACCAGTTACCTTTTGGACATCTTGGACTAAATGGCATAGGCATCTAAAACTCAACATGTCCAAAACAAATAGAAAAACTGTCTTTATTGTCAAGGAGCATACATTCTAATGGGAGAGACAATATGTAAATAACAAGGCACATGGTAGATAAATATTTTGTGAATGGGAGGTAATCTCAAAAGAAAGACGCTAGCATTGAGGATAATGAGGAAAGGCCTCCTACAGAAGGTGAAATTTGAACCAAGTCTTGAAGGAAGCCAAAAGGCTAAAGTGAATTGGAAGAGCATTCCAGGCATGTAGGGCAAGCTTCAAAAATGTAGAGAAATAGGGCCTAGAGTGTCACGTTTGAGGAACAGCCAGAAAGCCAGTGTTGCTGGATCATAGAATATGTGGACAGAAGTGAAATATTAAAAGACCCCCAAACTTGAAAGGGCTGGATCTTGAAGGGCTTTAAAAGCCAAACAAAGTTTGATCCTGAAGGTAATCAGAAGCCACTGGAGTTTATTGAGTTAAGAGTGACGTAGACAAACTTGAACTTAAGGAAATCATTTTGGCAGCTGAGAGGAGGATATATAGGAGTAGAGGGAAACCCAAGACAGGGAGACCTACCAGAAAGCTATTGCACTGGTCCAGACTTGGAACAATGAAGCCCTCTACTAGGTTGGTAGCTATGTAAGGGGAAAGGAATGCATGCAAAAGATGTGACGATAGAAACAAGACTTAGCGACAGATTAGATATGCAGGTTGTTTGAGTGAGAAATCAGCGGTACCAAAATTGAGAGTTTAGGTGACTGGGAGGATGGTGGTGCCTTTGCCAGTAATACAGAAGTTCAGAAAGGGGGAGAATTTGTGGGGAAGGATGAGTTCTGCTTCTTTGGGTAGCTTGAGTTTCAGATGTCTTTAGGACATGAAGCAGATGACATGTTGGCAGTTGGTCATGTGTGACTGGATCTAGCTCATCCTTTTCTTTCTGTTTAATTCTAAATCCCACTCATTGTCTTTAAATAGTATCTTTCCCAGATATACGTACTGATGACTCGATCACCTGTATGAGTTGTCTATCCAGTGGCATAATTTCTACAAGACATTTTTCATTGACTTGGTTTAGATAGGCCAAAATTTACACTGATTTAGAGAAAACTTGGCCATGTATCCAACCAAGCAAAATTGTCCTGAGGGCATTGTGAGGGATGTGGATGTAGGAGTGCCAATACATGGCACAGTCACCTTCCAGATTCTCTGAGTGATGGTCTGCTGACAACATTCTCTAAACTTGTTCTCGCAACTCTTTCCTATTGTCATGTGAGATGACACTGCCTGTAACCCTGTGCCATCTTTCTCCGCAAGATTTTACAGAGCATGTTGTATTCTAAGCTGATTATGCCTTTGGTTGCCACATTTGTCAGCATGGCAAGGAGATCAAGTATTTGGCTGAGGCAGTTGTTAGTTTCTTTTGTCTCTGTTTTGGGATAATTAATTGGGTCAGTTAAACTTAGAAAATAACTTGTGTTACAGTCTTTTTTTTTCTTTTCATTTCTTCGATATCAGATCATGTTGGTGTTTGCTCAATTACACATAATCTTTTCATCTCAGTTTTATTATTTCTCTCTGAGTTTTATATTGATTTTTATCTTTGCTCCAACAAGATAGTGTTCTGACTTTATTTACATAGACATATGATTCAGAAGTGACCTTCTCTCCCATAGGTAACCAGTCATTTCCTGTCTATTAGAACATAATCACTTTAATTTTAAAATTAATTGGTGCTTACTGTGTCCAGCACCTTCTCATTCTGTTCTCAAGGAAGTATTCTTGTTATACTATAAAAGCCATTGGCCTCTCTTCAAAAAAACAAAACCTTTTGAACCATCTTTTCCTATGTATGCGTATTTTTGTTTTGTTTTGTTTTTGCCGTCTCTGCCCATCCTTGCCTTGAAGTCATTGAGTATTAAAGTTGATCTTAATTAAATTTGGAGAGTCTTACAGAATTCTTCATATGATTTCTCTCCCTCCTTGTCTGCTTTAACAGCTCTTGGCACATAACCCATTTTTTATAGCGCTCTTTTATACAAGTACTTATCATGAGCTTTGCAATTCATGACCAAATGTTTTTCTTTTGAACATCGAATAAAACCGTTTCTGCCAGCTCCCTTATTTACCCTCTCCAAGGAGAACCTGTGAGCCATCTATCCATTAAGCTGTAACTTCTTTTGCCTTTTGTTTTCATATGTAATGAGGATACCAAGTTGACTGAAATTCAGTTCTTCAGTAGTATGCATACTTGGTCACTGGACAAGGATCTCACATTTAGAGTATAAAAACTAAGTTAATATTTACACAATCTAAAAACTGAATTCTTAACCTCTGCCCCTTTTCTGCCACTGCCACCATCACTTGAGAAGGAGCCTACATAGGACTAGGAACATTTTTATTTTTGTTTCATGGCTTTCCTTGGCCAAAGGTATTCCTCACCAAGTGGCCAAGCCTAATGGCTATGAACCTCTCCATATTTAGCTAGACTGGTCCCTGGAAATCATTTTTTTGCTGAGCACATCCTTCAAGACCCTTCAATGGTAGAATGTGCTAGAGTTTTTACTTTTGTGGGGAAAACCTTTAAGAACACAGGATCACCCTCATGCTACGATGCAACATCTCACAATGAAGCATTGGATTTACAAGTTTGTAAAATAAAATATGATATATTAATGTAATACTCATGGTCATTTTCTCATTTAGCATTTTACGGTGTTCGCGGGGAAGGGCCTTGACGTGGCAACACCGCTTATTAACTAACGCTTCCCCTCTCACACCTTACTAACTTTCTACCCTCCCCTCTCAAATGTCACCTTCTCTTCCTCTCTTCTCTTGTTCTCCAGTATAATATCATTATCTCCCCCTAGTACATTGTCACCGTCATTGCTGCTTCTGTTTTTAGGTCTGTGGAGCATTATTCTTGGTATGCCCACTACATTTAGACTTGGAATTTAATACCTTTGAATGTTGTATGTTTCAACAATGATGAGGAGCTGCTTCTTAAAAGTATTTAACTCAAAACTTAAAGGACATGGTAGAATCTGGTCAGCTCATGAAAAACAGTGCTGTGTGTCTGTTGTCTGTAATACTTTGTAAATTGCCGTAATGATAATGCCTGATTTGGGCTTATGTTCATTTGATTGGACCATCATGTTTTTTGTTACAATGCTTTCATTATAAGATATTTTATTAAACTAGAAGCTTTAACTCTAACCTGAAATGCTACTATGTTACGTTGGATCATAAGAATGATAGCTGGATTTTTTGTTATTGTTTGTAATTTAGGCTTTTGCAAATGGCTACCCTTATGATGGCCCAAACTGATTAGAACTTCACCCATTTGACAACTATTTGAGTTGTTTAACAGGTCTTATAATAGGAGATTATTATATCTTGTTATAAACCTGTTTTCCACAATTTAAACTCATTTCTTTCACAGTTAAAGCCTCCAAGCCAGTAAACCATTATCTGCTGTAATATCCATTAGCATATTATCTAAATGACCTTAAAGCAAGCCTTGAGCTTAAATTTTCTTATTAAATAACTTAAGAGAATTATAGAGAAAAAAAAAACAACTTTGAAAATTAGGTCTTACTGTCATTTCAGGCTTGCCACCAATACTGTCATATTAAGCTCAAAATGTATAAAACCAGTCTCACTGCTTTTGCAATAAGTAGTCTTAAGGCTGCCATTGCTGATAGTCAAGGAATGACTCTCTGTTAGTAGTAGCAGTCTTGGAACTGACAAATCTGTTTTCACTTGGAATTATTGGGCATACCAGTTTCAATTCCATTTCTATGAAATGCCTGCCCCCTAGAGGCCACTGGCTATATATCAACCGTTTTGCTTGCATCACTTAAATGACCCTGCTTTAAAAGCTATTCTAAGTTTCTTAGGTCTTTAACGTTTTTTAGGGTAAAGTAAATGAAAAATAAATAAGTATGGGACCAAATACCTTTCGTCCACATGCATTTTTGTAAACCTAATTTTGAACAACACAACATAGACAAATATAAAGCAGCATTTTCAATTTTTAAGGGAGATTGATATAGAGTCTGATCAACCCTATTGTAAGTATTTTTCCCACATTGTCACATAAGCCAACTCTCACTAAAAGTTGTCCATAGTCTACCAGGGGTAGGGAACCTGCAGCCTCAAGGCCACATGTGGCCCTCTGGTTCCTCAAGTGTAGCCCTTTGAACTGAGTCCAAGTTCTATAGAACAAATCCTTTTTTTAAGGGGATTTGTTCTGTGAAGTTTGGATTCAGTGAAAGAGCCACACTTGAGGACTTAGAGGGCCGCATGTGGCCTCAATGCTACAGGTTCCCCACCCCTGCCATAAACTGACCTTATGTGGTAAGAAAAAGAAGAAAATTATTTTGTGGTTTGAAAGACATATGTGAAATTTGGGCCTTACCTTTATACAGATCCCATTAGCCAAGTATGTATACTTGAGAATTCCCTAAGAAGAACCTAAAGCAAAAAGAAACGTTTGTCAACATATGCATGAGGTATTAGTCTTCAGTCTCTTAAGAGTTCTTAATTTGAACAGTGACATTCCAGAGCGTTCTTCTTTTCAGAGTACATCCAGGCCATTATGGTGATGGAAGAGTCTGTTCAGCATGTTGTCATGACGGCCATTCAAGAGGTATGTATTGAACCTTTTGCTTTTCATATTTTTCACACTTCAGCATTAACTAGAATTGGGTATAGAAATATTCTAAAGGATGTGCATTATTCTAAATAATAGAAATGGAAATGAAATAATTAGGTTCTGTTACCCCATTATTGGAGAATGTTTTTAATTGTTCCCATTCAGTGAACATTTATCATGTACTTATTATAGGAGAGGCATTAGGCTAGACTTTCAGGATACAAAGAAAAATGACATAGCCTCTGCCTTCAGGAAACTTTAATTTTATTGAATGCAGCATGTAAACAAGGAAGTATAAAGTAATTTGAAGGAAAAGTAAGCATTAGAAGTATCTAAAAAGGTACTTTTACTTCTTAGATGATCTTAAAATTATATTTTACCTAGCTTATTTTTACTTCAGAAATTAAAGCTATCTTTAAAAAAATAACAATCTATGGCATTTAATTTGGCTGTTATTTTGTATTTCCTTCCCTCTGTTTTGGTTCCTAAATGGACATAATAACTGAATTTAGTAGTTTTTAACTTAATGAATTTCTTGTTTCGTTATAAGAATAAATTATGTTGGCTAAAATTGCTTTTACATGTAATTGGAGAGAAATAAAATACTAAGTAAAAATTTTTGAAAAAAATAATGAAGTCATTGGAATACTATGACTGAGGCTATACTAGAAGCCAATTCTGTATTTTAGACTGCTTTTAGATTTAAGTCATGTACCTGGACCCATTGTGAAAAGCATGTATCACTAGACAAATAATAGTAAATAGTAAAAAGTTTCTGTTTACATTTTATTTGTATTCTAATCTTAATTATGGTAGTGTTCAGTTACTTGTGCTTGTAATATAGCACCTAGAATGGTATGAGAATACATTTCTTATTATTTCTTGTTCTCTTTCTTAATATTATTCCTCAAGTGAAATCTTTGTCATCTTCATTTCAGCTGATGAGCAAGGAATCTCCAGTTTCTCTTGGAAATGATGCCTATGTTGACCTTGACCGCCAGGTACCTAACATGAGGTGTTGTCTTTTCAGTGATAGTGGTAGCTAGCATAAATAGACACTTTGTAAACTGCAAGACATGATACTCTTTCCCTTGATATTTACAACCGTGTGAATTATTCTTCTCACGTTACAGATGAGAGATCTGTGTTTCACAAAGGTGAAATGTGCCTACTGAGCACATCAGCTAGTGACAGAACCGTGACCAGGTCCTCTGACCTCAGGTTCAGTCTTCTCTTACTGTGCCACACTTTAGTCTTCAGGTTTTTTTTCTTCTCTGACAAAAAATTTACTTTGAGAGGCAGCTAGATGGTGTAGTGGATAGAACACTGGACCTGGAGTCAGGAGGACCTGAGTTTAAATCTGGTCTCAGACCAAACACTTGATATTTAACAGCTGTGTTACCCTGGGCAAGTCACTTAACCCCAATTGCCTCGCAAAAAAAAAAAATAGAAAAAAAGTTTACTTTGGGGGAAAGTGAGGAACTCTTTACGTAATGGATCTGTAAAGTTCTCTAACCCTAGACGATGTAGCTTCAGAATTAAGATTGGTGTGTCTTTATTACAGTAAACAAAAGCAATTTTTTATTAGATGTTATGTATCTATAATTGAGTGTGACCATCTGCTTGCCTGGCATAATCTACCTTAAAAATAGGTTAACTCTTGTTAACCGCAGTCTAGGGTTAAAGTTTTCACTTTGTGTTATTTTGTTTCAAGTAGTTCATCCCTTTATAATCTTAAGTACAGATCTACTTCACTTAGACAATTGGTATGTACCTGAAAAGTTCTTTGAAAACTTAAATCACATTTACCCATCAACTTTTATAGTTTGAATTGTGTTCAGGTTCATTTTACCTTGATTTTGAATAACTTTTTTGCCAACAATTTAGTGGGTTTTTTCTCTCCTCATACTTCTAGATGGAGTTGTTAATCATCTCTCAGGAGACATAGCCTGCACTATAATAGCTATAATTTGAAAGAATACTATAGAGATTCTCAAAGGGTTATAAGGAATTTTTTTGTAGTTTTTAATAATTTTCTCATTTAACTGTTTTTACTTGGGTATTTTTAAATAAATACACTTATACAGATTTTTTTAAAAGTCATATTAATAGTATGTGAAGCTTCTATACTATATTTTCAGAATATTTATTTCACTTTGTGTGCTGCCTTACCCTTACCCTTTCCCATTCCACTTCTACTGTTTGTACCACCACCTCCAAGGAAAAGCTCTCAGTCATATACAGAAAATCATAAGGTATTATATTTGTGTCGGTTTTATCAGAAATTTCAGAAAGTTTACATTTCATTAGAGATCTGTTAAATGAAAACATTTTATTTTGGCTTTAATAATGTATGTAGAATAAAAATTAAAAGTAACATAGCATATTTCGTTTGAAATATTTCACTTCTCTAAATATGAAGTATTACTTCACACTCCTGAGTCTTTCCTCTCTAACAAAGTAGATGAGCCCTCTCTTTTTTGAAACCATTTGTGGCAAGCAGTGAGGCCAACCTAACCACTGGGACTAAGTCCTCTATGTTGACATTTGGGAGTTTCTTGGTCTGGCCACATCTCTCTATTATAAAAATCTCATGAAAAAAGCATTTTTCCATACTCTGAACTCTTATTTTCTAACTCTTTCACTCAATGTGCTTTTGGCAGTCGTTATTTCTGATTTAAAGTGTGGCAGACATGAATTCTAGGAGCTTCATGAATGCCAGGCTTCATAATATACATGCTGCAGCTTGTCTCCATGTGTAAAGATATCTAGAGTTATTACTTTTCCAAGTTCTTTTGACAGTTTCCTTTTGCTGTTCTGGAATGATTGAATCTGGTGCAAATAACATTGAAACTGTATGTAAGGAGAGAAATTAATACATAGAAAAAAGGCAAAGTTAAGCAACTCATTTTTGGTTCTGCTTAATCACTTGTTTAGCCCATTTTCCTTTATGATTTAAGTTAACTTTTCATTAGCAAAGGTGAAAGATATTTGAGGATCAGCCTGGTTTTTAAAGGACCAAAATAGATTTTTTTTTCCAGGGATTTCCAAGCCATTTAATTCAGATCCAATAGTTTCAGTATCAACCTCCTAGTCTCATCCCACTGCCAAACCTCAAAGGAACATGTGGTGGAAGGACTTGTTTGTAGAACATAAGTATTGCCGAGATGCAGATATCAAGAACAAAACAACACACTTTGAAGTGAGCTAATTCCAAACACTTGATTTAACACCGCTATAATTTCTCTGTGGCTTAAATCTAAACCAAGACAAATAGGAGGGAAATACAAGGATTAAAGAAGAGAATTTATATTCCTGAAATGATTTTGCAGTATTCTGAATGAACAGAAAACTTTTTATCTGCTTCCAAAGAGCATTGTGATCACATCTCATTGAAATTAAATTTTTTAAAAATTTAAATTAAACTTTCTTCCACAAGGTGTTACAGCTCTAAGTTTATATTTTTGAGTATTTGGCTTTTAGTCATAAAATAAGAATCTTACTTGGAAGATATGTCAGATGCCTGTTAGTCTAGCCTGTATCTGAACAGGAATTCTCACTATAAATTATCTTAACAGTGGTCATGGTCACCTTAGTCTAATCATCCCTGCTACCTCCAGGAGCTCTTTTCTTTGATCTTAAGGATTGTTGCTCTTTACTGTGGTGAGAATATTTATAGATGCTCATTAACATTCCTAGCGAATTCTTATTTGTTATTTCAGTGTTTCCCCTTGTAGTTTTGAAATTCTTTTTCATGTTTTTTTTCCTTCTTTTGTGGAACATGCATCTTCAGGATCGCCTTATTTGATTCTCATTGGTGTTTTGAAGTTATTTTACTTGTTTTTAAGACACTTTTCACAATCCTCTTTGGCATTGTATTTTTGGTCCTGTAGGTAGATTTTTTTGAATGTTGTTTTTGGATTGTGTTTGTTTTTTTCCTGTTTTTTTTGTTGTTGTTTTGTTTTGTTTTTTGTTTTTGTCTTCCCTGTCTTTTAAAGAATATAGGAGCAGATGCATCTCAGTGGCTTGAAGACATATACTTACTTGTACAAAAGATGTCTGTAACCAGGGACACCATCAAGAACATCTGATGTTCTTGAAGCATCATCATGATTAGTTTGGATGTGAGATGTACAAAAGATACTCTTCGAACTATTGAGTGTGGCAGTGAGTTTGTGAAGCACAACTCCCTTATCTCCCAAATTCCTTCAGAGAATATCAAATAATATACTGAAGTATGATTGCTGAAAATCCTGTTCTGACATCAACTAATTAGTTTCTAGTCATTCAGAATGACAGTGCTGAAAACTACAGTATGACCGAGAAGACATTCATCATTTCCTGTCAACTAGCAGACATTGAAAACCTTGATAAACTAGCTTAAGTAAGGTAGTTGTGAGCAGCTAAAACTTATAACTATATAAATTGATATGTTCAAGGATAATCTCCATAAGTATCAAAGAAGGTGCTTCAAGAATACACTAAAAAGGGGCAGCTAGGTGGCGCGGTGGATAGAGCGCCGGCCCTGAAGTCAGGAGGACCTGAGTTCAAATGCGGCCTCAGACCAAACACTTGACACGTACTAGCTGTGTGACGCTGGGCAAGTCACTTAACCCCAATTGCCTAAAAGAAAAAAAAAAAGAATGCACTAAATTGAGTTCTCCCTGGAGTTAAGCTTTTGGGGTTCAACTGAGAAGTTGCAAAATCATAAATATGTATAATATTGTACCTTAGCATTTCAGATAACTCTTTGGAACATTAATTTTCTAATGACATGTCTTAGGAGCTCTGACAAAGTTTTATGATTCTTATTTTTAAAATGGAGATCTGAGGAGACGAAGGGTAACGTAGCATAAGCCAGCAAAATGTCTGCTGAAAAAGAAAAAAAACTTGTAGAAGCCCTGAGGAAAAGAAAAATATGAATGCCACTGAAGCAGATGCCTTCTTTTTCAGTGGTAAAGAAGATTATTAAAGTCTTGACTTTTAAATTATAACACAGAACTCCTGAGTGATATAAACAATGCCATACCCAAGAATTAACTCAAAAGAACTTCTTTAAACAGAAATCTCACTGGAATGGGTCTGTTCAAAAAGACATGGTTACCTCTTTAGAGTATCTCTAGTCTCTAGAGTGATGAAATATTAGTATATTATTTCAAAGAACATTTTCCATATTCCTTCCTGCTCTTTTGTGATATAGAAGACATGGTTCTTAATCAGGATATTTGTGCCTTGTACCATGATTACATGCAATCCAATATTTATGGGCATTCAAGAAACTTCTTTATAAGTTCATGAGAACCAAGCTTGTTACCATATATAGTTCAGTACTCTCGAATTGAGATTAAAAATTGAGTTTGTTGGAAAAATACTTTATCAGGTTTCACTGACTGCCATATAAATCAGGAGCTCATCAAAATCACATAAAAAATTCTACATTGGACCACAAAAAGGGATTAGTTGACTATTTCTTTACCTAAGAGAAAGTTATTGAATCAGAAATGCATTTGGAAATGGTCTGTTAGCTATATATGGGGTAAGAAGAGCCTTGTATGTGAGAGTAAATCTAATTTTAAAACTACATAAATAAAGCTTATAATTTACAGATGCTACGAATAGTAACCCAATTAAAGGAAAAAAAATTTCTGCAATCTGTCTTGCTTTCCACTTTCATTGTTTAAAAAAAAAAAAAGGAAAACTTTTTTTTTATTATCTTGATTGCATTTTGTGCAGATTGCTTCATTGTGGTCATTTGAGCACCTCACTTTAGAGTAATGATCCCCATACCTGGTTTTCTAAGGTTGTGTCCCTGGTCATTTCAAGATGATTAGTAGAATTCCCCCTTAAATTCTCAAATAATTTTTTAAACTTACTTAAATTAACTACATATTATGAACTATATTTAAGGCAGATTTTAAAATGTTATTTCTCTATACAGACTATAATTCATTTTTACTAAAGGCTTGTGTTTGCACTCCTAAGAAAACTAAGGGAATAATTG